GTTGACTAAGCTTGAGTCGAGTTCAAGGAGGTCGAATAATTTGATGAATTTGAACTTGAGGCTTATACGTGAGGTTTGAAAACTCATCAAGCTGTACCACTTGAGCTTGATTGAGCTCAATTAAGTTAATTGAGCTCCATTTAGTTAAGATCCAATCTTGCTTGAACTCAAACTCAAATAAACTAAAATAAAATCGAACTCAAACTCGAGTAACGCACTATTCCAACTCTATTCACTCCTGTCATATGCTTGCTAATTCATGATTTGTCCTCAAATTTGAAGCACATCGACACAAATAGGATGAATCTGAACTTGATTGAGTGTAAATGCCAGTTTTAGAAGAAAAAAAATATCTGACCACATGATTAAATTATAAATTTGTGGTTTGTTTATTTTAAAAAATTAACTTGTATAGATATTACAAGATGAAAGAGTAGTTGGACTGCATTATGTTTATATCAATGTTTTTAAAATCGGATTAGACCAGTTGGTTTGATTGATTGAACCACGAATTGACCATGTTCCCTGTCTAGTTGAGCACAAAAGCCGAACAATGTGAAAAAAGGGTCAAGACCGATCAAAACTATTAAATCGATATCAAATCGGTGAACTGCGAAAACTGCAGTTTTTTTAACTTTTAACTTATTAAAAAGTAAAATAAGTAATAAAATCACACAAACCCAAAAACTAAAGTCACCAGCTATTAACTCCTCTTTTCAATTGTTCCTCTAACTTTTTTTCTCTATTTCTTCACCTCCTTTTCTCTTCTCCAAATCTCATTTTCTTTTCAAATGTGTTTATATTAACTTTCTTGAGGGTTTTTATAGGAAAAAAAAATCTATATCAACTAAAAGAAACACCAACCCTACCTTATTCTCTGGTGACCATGCTATTTTTATTCTTTACACCCATACTGCCAACAAGCACCTGATGCCATCTCTTACCACTCACGTCGCTACTGCCATCCCCACCACTACCGCAGCAGGGCTACTGTTATTGCTACTTCTGTTTTTTTTTTGGTATTATTTCATATTTTATCTTTACACACTTAGGATAATGAAAAGATTTTAGAAGACTTAGATGTGAAAAATTGATTTACTTTGTATATCGTGAAGATGATGATGAGATTGATGTAAATCTGAAACCTTTGAAACATGTATAGTATGTGAGAAAATTTTTGGATAAATGATTATCTTCAATTGAAGATGGGATGATGCCTAAGGAAAAAAAAAGATGAGATGATACGGTGGTGGTGATTTGACAAAGCCATTGCAAAACTAGATAAGTTAGAGATGGAATTGAATTTTTTTCTAAATTTTCTTTAATTTTTTTACATTTTCAAAGAAATTATGATTAATTTTTTGATTGATTTTGCTTTTGAAATAGCATGGTGTATGCATTTCGTGGAGAAAATTCTACATTTTAGGTTTTTTGTACTTATTTTACATAATTTATTATTATTAGCATTTTTTAATTTTTAAAATATTAATAAAAACAAGGAACTGGTGAACCGACCGGTTAAATTGGTTGAATCAAAAAAATCAAGAACCAGTCTGGGTCTAAAAATATTTTGGTTTATATCTAGTGTTGTTTGGATGGGAGGTTATTTGAAATAATTATTGTAACACTTTTTGTGACGTTATATTTGTGAAAATTGTGTGTATGATATAAGCAAAACAAAATTTGAAAATCTTTTTTGAAATTCTAGATATCCAAACAAGCGCTTGTGGGCTACGACGTGGAGAATATTAGGCAAAATGAAGGGAAGCCATACTCGATTGGGTCACTAACAAAAGTACCAAAGCCCTTTGAACTTTAAACAGGCCTCCACTGGACTCAAAGGAAAAATTAAAACCGCCTGCACTCCGTTTGATTAGAACAAAAATTGCGTGAGAAAGTAAAGTGCAACGAAGTGAAGTAAGGAAAAATGAAAGTTATTCTCCAGTTTATGTTTGGTTACCAAGAAATGGGAAGTTGATGATAGTTAGTGATAGCCGTTAAAAATTTTTCCTTCAAAATCCTACAAATTTTGCAGTATACAAAATGTAGGAAAGTATTTTTCTTCAAAATCCTATAAATTTTGCAATACACAAAATGCAGGAAGGTGAAAGAAAGTGCAAGAAAATTTTTCGTCTTTTTTTTCGCTAACCAAAACATGAATGAAAGAAAAAAATAACTAACTTTCTTTTGCTTTTCGATATTTTTTCTTGCAAATAAACACTATCTTGAACTTGAAAAGCGAGTTAGTACCACAACAGTTAGTGCAAAATATTGTTTACTTGCCATGCCCCCCTTTTCCCTAGCGTAAAGGTGTCAAAATGGGTGTGAGTTCAATAAAATGGATAATGGGTATAAGTGAATCAACTCATTTATATTCATTTAATTAGATGGGTATAAATGAGTAAGTCAAAAAATGAATTGGGTAATTCAATTATCCATTTATAACCCATTTATTTTAAATTTGTGTAAACTCATTTAAATTTATTTTTGCAAACTAAATTATCAATTTATACCACCTTTGTATCCATCATTAATTTTAAAATTTACTTATAATGTTCAATAAGTCTAATTACCAATTTTTTTTCTATCCCTACTCTATGTCGCAAAATTACATACTATTTAATAATTGAATAATAAGAATATAAAAATTTGAACTACGTACTATAAAAATTAACATAAAAATTTAATCCAAAAATTTTGAACCCCTAACATTTTTTTATGTGTAAATTTAAAATTTCATTTTGGAATGGTAGGAAAAGTGGCTAAAACTTATCATAAATTGGTAATGCTGAAAAATCAGTAGGTTAACAAACTAAAAGAAAATAAAATGACAAGATAAAACTAACAAATAATAATAATAATGAAACAAAAGTAGTTAACATCATAACAAAATGCAAAATCTAAAAAAAAAAATGGGTGGGGAAAGTGAAGAAATTTGGGGAAAATAATTCTAAATGGATTAATTGAATTTGATGGATTACTCAATAATACCCATTTATTATTGGGTATTATTGGGTAACCCATTTATATATTTTCTTTTTCCGAAACGATAAGTGATTTTATAGATTAACTTAAACTTTACAAAATCAAACAAAGGCTCGATAAACACTATAGAACCAGTGCACAATGGCAATAAAGAATCCAAAACTCCTCTTCTTCAACGATGTGTAACTGTCAGGCTTGGATTAATTGCAATCAAAACTATATAGTTTAGTGGTGAGTATTGAGTCGGTTAGGATTAACTACCAGAATCAAGTTGTTATAAAGGTGGGGACCACCATTAATTGTCATAACGACATTTTTGAAGAAATAACAATTTCCATTCTTTCTGTCTCTTCAATCTTCTCTCATTCGCTCTTCTGCCTCTCTTCTTTCTTCTCTAATTCTTCCCTCTAATCTCCATACTAGATAGTCGAATTATCTGGTGTCCCTGACAATTGGTATCCAGATCTATCGATCCTTAGAGCTCGCTTTGAAATTCAATGGCGAAAGGCACTCGATTTCGAACATTGGAGGAACAAGTGAAGAAATAGGAGTTCAAGCTCCAGGAGTTGCTAGAATCCTTGCATTCAGCTCAATCGGAGCAACAACGAATAAGGAGCGAAATGAAAATAGAGCTCGAAGAAAGCAACAAGAGAATGGAGAATCTGGTCACTGGAACGGAACAGAATCTTGATAGAATTCTGGAACAAAAGTTTAACAGCCTACTGATGAAGATAACAACGGGGAAAGATAATGTGCCAGAAAAGGATGGAAGAGCGAACGTGGATCCAACACCAATTCTACCTGCTCCTCTAGCTCACCAGAGACTACAGGTTGAAATGGAGGTTCAGAAGACCTTCAAGAAGGACTGGAGTAAGTTTCAGATTCCAAATCCTCCAAAAATTGATTTACAGTTATTTTCTGGAGCAAATCCTAGGGATTGGCTGCGCAAATGTAATAAATATCTTTTGAACTATCAAGTTCCTGAGGAATAGAAAGTTGAGGTCATTGAAATGTATCTAGAAGGTAGAGCAGACAAGTGGTTTCAAGGGGTAAAAATTGAGAAACCTAAATTGGACTGGGAAGAATTTAGTGATTTACTGTGTAGGCGATTCAATGATAGTACTTGCAGAGATGTGATAGAAGAGTTCAATAAGCTGCAACAGGAAGGGAGTGTGAGAGAATATCAGGAAAAGTTTGAAGAACTGAAACCTCTGATGATGACTAAGAATCGAAATCTAGATGAAAACTATTTTGTTTCCAGTTTCATAAGTGGATTAAAAGAGGAAATCAAACCTATGGTCAGGATGCTTAAACCTACTACCTTGACAGAAGCATTTGAGATTTCACAGTGGCAGGAACAGTCAATCAGGATCTAACATAGGAATACTAAGGACATTACCGAAGTTGTAGGGGAGCATAAGTTTGGAATGACAAGGAGTAATACACCAACTACTGGGAGTCACTCATACAAGGTGCCTGCTAGTAGCAATTTCAGACATTCCAAGTTCAAAAACCCTCAAGAGGAATTCAAGGACTCAAGGAAACCTTCAACACAGGAAATGCAGTATAGGAAGGTTAATAGACTATGCTTCAAGTGTGGGGAAAAGTATGGAATAGGCCACCAGTGCAAGGTAGGCTATGCAAACTGCATGTTCCTAGAAGAAGAGAAGGAATCTACCTTTGAAGATGCAGTTGGGGAAGTAGGATGAACAGACAGGGAATCCTGGGCAGGCAATGGAGATGTCCTTACATGCATTATCTGAAGCACTAAAAAGGAAAACCATTACACTGGTGGGCATCCTTGATGGGGAGAAGGTGCTCATGCTGGTGGATACTGGAAGCTCAGACAGTTACATCAACAGTGAGTTGGTCATTGGCATGGATATTGGGTATCAATGGGTAGATCAGCCCTTTTCTGTATCATGGGCAATGGATCGTGTGTAACTAGTAATGCTATTTGTCCTAATGTGCACTGGAGGATTAACCAACATAATTTCAGATTCAACCTCAAAGTAATGGAACTTGGGGGTTGGGACATAATATTGGGAGTGGATTGGATGACACACTTTAGTCCAATTACATTCAATTTCTATCAGCTCAGAATATCCTTACATCATGAGGAAGATGAGATTCAGTTGCATGGGAGAGCAGAAGATTGTGATCTGGACCTAATCAGGAGAAAGGATTTAAGGAGATTCATAAAGTACAAGAAGCAGATGTGTATGGCAATGAGCTCAGCACAGAATAAAGGAAGAGAAGCTGACCCTATACCCTCAGAAGTAGCTGAATTACTACAACATTATGAAGATGTATTTCAGACCCCAAGTGACTTACCTCCCAGTAGAAATGTGGACCATGAAATACCTCTCAAACTAGGAACTCAGCCATTCAAATTGAAACCTTATAGATACCCCATTGCCATAAGGAGGAAATTGAGAAGCAAGTTACTGAGATGTTGCAGAAAGGTATAGTCAAGTGCAACAATAGTCCTTTTGCCTCCCCTATTTTGCTAGTAAAAAAAAAAAGGTACTTGGAGATTTTATGTGGACTACAGGAAGCTAAACGAATTAACTGTCAAGGACAGATTCTCAATACCTAATGTGGATGAGCTACTGGATGAACTAACAGGTGCTGTGCTTAAGACTAAGTTGGATCTCACAACTGGATATCATCATATCAGAGTGAAACCTCAGGATACTTTCAAGACAGCCTTCCAAACTCACTGTGGGCACTTTGAATTTCTAGTCATGCCTTTTGGGCTGACAAATGCTCCTGTCACATTCCAATCACTGATGAATCAGATATTTCAACCTTATTTGAGGAAATTTGTTCTGGTATTTTTTTATGACATTCTTGTATACAGTCCTATAGTGGAGGCTCATGTGCATCACCTGAGGATTGTGTTTGACATTCTGAGAAGTAATCAACTATACGTGAAGAAATCCAAGTGTGCCTTTGCCCAGACCAAGTGGACTACCTGGGGCATACCATTACTGAACAGGGGGTCACTATGGATGATTCCAAGGTCAAAAGCATTCTGCAATAGCCCATACCACAAACTGTTAAGGAACTGAGAGGTTTTTTGGGACTGACAGGATATTATAGAAGGTTTATAAAGCATTATGGGCTTGTCTGCAAGCCACTTACTGAATTGCTCAGAAAGGATAGCTTCAAATGGAATATGCAGGCACAAAATTCTTTTGATCAACTTAAGAAACTGATATGCTCAGCTCCTGTTCTTCAGTTGCCAGATTTCAAGAAGTCTTTTGTAGTAGAGACAGATGCCAGTAGAGGAGGTATAGGGGCAGTTCTGATGCACCCTATTGCCTTCTTAAGCAAGACACTCTCAGCTAAGAACTTGGGATTATCAGTGTATGAAAAAGAACTCCTTGCTCTAGTAATGGCAGTTACTAAATGGAGGCACTACTTGGTTGGGAATCATTTCATCATTAGAACTGACCACTAGTCTCTGAAGTATATGTTGGATCAGAAATTGAACACTGCATTTCAACATAAGTGGATGACTAAGCTTCTGGGGTTGGACTATGTGATACAGTACAAAAAAGGTAATGAAACCAGGTGGCTGATGCATTGTTTAGGATACATGAAGTTATACATAAAGCTGCACTGAGCTCTTGTATGGCTCTTACTTCTGTCAAGCCTGGCTGGATTGCAGAGTTGCAAAAAAGTTATGAGGATGACACTCACTACCAAGACATTATAGCTAAACTAGTGCTAGATCCCAACTCTCACAATGACTATACGCTGGTGGATGGAATATTGAAATACCAGGGTAGGATCTATGTTGGAGAGGCAGGGAACATCAGAGAGCAAGTTATACGGGCCTTACATGCTTCAGCAATAGGTGGTCACTCAGGCCAGAGGAATTGCTGGCAGAAAATTAGGAACTTATTCTACTGGCCAGGCATAAGGCAAGAAGTGGTGTCCTTTGTACAGAAGTGTGATGTCTGTCAAAGGAACAAGTCTGAAAATGTTCCTTATCCCAGATTGCTGCAACCACTCTCTGTACCTAAGTAGGCATGGTCTCACATTGCTACGGATTTCATCGAGAAATTGCCTAAGTCACAAGGCTATGATACTATACTAGTAGTTATTGACAGATTCACCAAGTTTGGTCATTTCATCAGATTGACACATCCATTCACAGCAAAGGAGGTTGCTCAAGCTTTTCTGGATAACATCTATAAGCTACATGGCCTACCAGAGTCTATCATCACTGATAGGGACAAAATCTTCACCAGCAAGTTCTGGAAAGAGCTTTTCAAGTTAGTTGGGACTGAGCTACATTACTCTTCATCCTACCATTCTCAGACTGATGGTTAGAGTGAAAGACTCAACCAATGTTTGGAAAACTACCTGAGGTATATGACTGGAGAGCTTTCTTCCCAGTGGGGCAGGTGGTTATCTCTGGTTGAGTGGTGGTACAATTCCACCTACCATTCAAGTCTGGGAATGACCCTTTTTGAAGCCTTGTTTGGATACAGGCCATTACATTTACCAATGGGACCGTATTTAGACTCCATGATTCCTGCAGTTTCTAACATGGTGCAGGAAAGGATCAAGATATCCAACTGCATCAAGGAGAACTTGACCAAGGCTCAACAAAGGATAAAACAGTATGCTGATCATCACAGATCTGAAAGGGAGTTCTCTGTGGGGGATTGGGTGTTTTTAAAGCTCCAACCCTACAGACAACAGACTGTGGCTATCAGGAAATGTCTCAAATTAGCAACTAAGTATTACAAGCCATTCCCGATTGAGCAGAAGGTGGGGGCAGTAGCCTATAGACTTAAGCTTCCAGCAGACTCCAAACTACATCCAGTGTTCCATGTGTCTTTACTTAAGAAGAAATTGGGGCCAATGTAGGGCAGCTCCATTGCCCTACCAGAATTAGACTTTCAGGATCAATGTCCATTAAAGCCAGAAGTAATTCTGAAAAGGAGGGTTATTATGCGAGATGCAAAGCCAGTTATTCAGTTTTTGATTAAATGGAATCACTTGGATTATGAGGAGGCATCTTGGGAGGACAAGTCTTCTGTTGAACATCAATTCTCTGAATTTCAGACTTGAGGACGAGTCTGTTTTATGGGTAGGGAATTGTCAGGCTTGGATTAATTGCAATCAAAACGATGTAGTTTAGTGGTGAGTATTCAGTCAGTTAGGATTAACAACCAAAATCAGGTTGTTATAAAGGTGGGGACCACCATTAATTGTAATAACAACATTTTTGAAAAAATAACAATTTCTATTCTTTCTCTCTCTTCAATCTTCTCTCCTTCCCTCTTCTGCCTCTCTTCTCTAATTCTTCCTTCTAATCTCCACACTAGATAGTCGAATTATCTGGTGTCCCTGACAGTAATCCATTTATACCCATGTACAAAAATTTAAAATATCCATATCCATCTATTCACGGACGAGTATGGATAAATTTAATTAAATGGGTTGATTTGCCACCTATACCCTGGTAGGCCCAAAAAGAAATGAAGGAAATCAGGTAAATCAATTGCGTAGGAGAAGTTGACCATTGACCAAAAAAAAAATTGCGTAGGAGAAGTTCTCATAAAGCTTTTTTTTTTTTATTCTCAATCTTATAATCTTGCAATATTTTCTGGTAAATCTGTTTTGCGCATGTTGCTATCTCAAAAGTTTTCCATGACTTGAATCGAAGATTATTTGGAAAAACTTTTTAGAATAATACTATAATATTTTATTTTTTGTGACACGATATATGTGAGACAAAAATATAATTTAAAAATGAAAAGATGATTGAAGACTGTTTACTGTGAGAGTGAAAATTTTTTGCAACAAAATGGGTATCAAAACAGATGGCATTTTTACTTAAAAAACAGACAGTTCTCTTTAAATTTTTACGCAAAATCAAGTCCATTCTTAAAGTTTCATTTTTGCAACAAAGAACGTATTCAGCCCAAAAACTCATTGAGAAACATAACTCCTGGATTATATGAGGGAAATGCTAAATCCGGTCATCTATTCTTTATCCATACTTTATAAAAATGTTAATATTTACAATACAAGTCAATAGTCATCTATATATTTAACTCAAACAATAGGCTAAAAATGAAAATAACCCAAAAATAAATAGCTTTACTTTTCCTTCAATCTTTAAGGAATATAAAAGGATTTTTTTTAGCAAGGGAATATTGGAATTTAAGAAGCGAGGACGGGTGAAATATACAACGTAATGTAATGTATAAGAGAATATGACTACTTGATAGAAACCAAAGCTTACATGACAAATATGAGTACTTAATAGAAGCCAAGATTTACATGTCTAGTATAAAAGTGGAAAATGTAGTAAAAATTTTAATAGTATTAGTTGTTCAAAGGTACGATAAACAAGCAAAATTTAAAGGAAAAATACATGTTGCATGTCAAAAAAATTTTTAAATATACTAAAGCATTGAGTTACAATGGCATCATAACAGAAATCATTTTAAACCGAAATTTGTTGGAGTTGAATCATGTTTTAAAAAAGTTGAATAAAAGTGTTAGATTTGAATAACAAGAGCTTGTTGAAGCAAAAAAATTTCTATAAAGATTATCACCAAACTAGGTTATATAATTATAAAAAATAATTGATCAATCAATGTGAGTGCAAGAGAGAGAGAGAAGAATAATAGGGGGGCCGAGGGGAGAGTGAGAGACCATAACATAAAATACTTAATTAGAGAGAAAAAAGAGCAGTGATTAGTGTATAGAAAAATCAATGAGCGTATATAAAGTTGATTGATTGAAGGTAATCTTGATATTTGTAAAATTTTGCTTTGCCAAGAAAATAATTGCTCTGTCAATATCGTTTGCCAAACAAATAGCATTTGTACTCGAAAACAGATGGTTCTCTTCAGATTTTTGCTTCATAATCAAGTTCATTCTCAAAGTTTCATGTTCGTCCATAAGCCAACTTAGACGAGAACGTATTCAGCCCAAAAACTCATTAAGAAACATAACTCGTGGATTATATAAGGGAAATGCTAAATCCAGTAATTTATTTTTAATGCATACTTTAAAAAAATGGTAATATTTACCGTACAAGTCAATAGTCATCTATATATTTAAAGTCAAGATGCCCTACTTAAAAAAAAAAGCATCTATATATTTAAAGTGTAAATTTAGAAAAGCCAAAGTAAATTTAGCACCCTTTGTACCAAAAGTAACAAATACTTTTCCTTTTTTTTTTTTTGGAAGTCCAAAGATAATGTGGAGTGACAACTAGTTTGGATGGTCTGTAATGAAAGAACTGTAGAAGTAAAGAAATTTTGGGGTTATTTTTTAAAAGACTTTTTACTTGGTGAAATTTTCTCTCCAAAAAATTATAAATATAATGACCAAGGCTTTTCCTCCTTGCTTTTGTATCCTAAACTCCTAAACTATGCCTCAAGGTTTTGTTTTGTTAGTCTTCCTTGCGGCAAGTGTAAAAATTTCAGGAGAATGAATTATTTCGTTTGTATTCAATCTAGAATATGCCTCTTAATTAATTGGTTAGCTATGAACAGAAATCAAAAGGCCAGGGAGCAAACTATGTGCCCAAATCTACACTTTAGGCATTAATTTATTGTACGTCCATAAGGCCGTCATATACATCCATTAGCCAGACTGAAAATCAGTAGGTGACAATTACGAAATTAAGAAAGATTTATATTAGCTCCATCTTTTAACTATGAAAATAACTCAATTTCCAACTTTTAATTATTAAGGAATCCAAAGTCAATATTTTGGCCATAGTCGATTTCTGTGCTACGTATATTAGCTCCATCCTTTAATTATTCCCTCTGTTCCAATTATTTTATCGTGTTTCAAGAATCCAACTTTTTAAGAATAGTGGTTTGATTGTGATGTTTATACTTTCCTTTTCAATCTTACTCTCACAAATTTAAAATTTGAATTTGAATTGTAACATACATATGATTAAACAGAGGGACTATATTGGAAGAAGAAACTGAAAAAGGCTTTGATTTTCTTAACGTGACAAATATTTTGTGGAATCTTAAAATAAAAAATATGATACTTTCAATGGGATGGAGGGAGTATGAAAATAACTTAATTTCCAACTTTTAATTATTAAGGGAATCCAAAGTCAACATTTTGGTAATAGTCTATTTCTGTGCTACTTGCATGAAAATGAACAATAATATGTAAGATGGCCTCTTAACTGTTCGTGCAATTCAATAAAACTTAGCTATAAGACTAGACATGGATTTTGAGTCTCTCTTGAAGGCAATGCAATTAAGCGACGTAGAACCAAATTTGAAGAAAATTAGTTTAGTAAGTAGAAGAAGTTTTCATAACGCGTTCTTCCTCTTGGCCATATACAATCGCGCAAAACATTTTCTGCCCTACTTTTTTTACTATTTTCTACCTCAACATTTATTAAATTGCCATATATCTTTCATGATCATCCTATTTTAATTCTTTTTTTTATCCCTTTAAATTCTAATACTACTAATAGAGCAGAATATAAAAGATCACATACTTGAGAAATAAAATTAAACTAAAAATGGGTTTTTAATAAATTTTCTGATTTTTCGTTTTCTGTTATGTATTGTTATTTAGTTTTTTATTTTTTGTATTCTACCCTATAAATAATTGTTGGAACCTAAAGGGACATGAAACGAATTAAAATGAGATGTTTTTGAAGGATACAACGATCTAATAAATATTGAAATAAAAAATAATATGAGAAGTGAGATTTTGCCATAAAAAATACAACGAGCATGCACCTTTCTATACCAATTTTGCCATATTTTGCAAATTAAACCAATTTAACTAAACAAACCAAATTTGCTTCCAATTATTCTTCTTGCATTTACAACGATATATTCCAAAGATTTGCTCGTCCAGAAATAAAAAAACACATTGATGTCTGAACTAGTAGGCATCAGTAATCAGTCTCTTATATCAGATTAAAAGAACTTAGTTGGACATGTATGCATAATTCGTATATCATGGCAGAAAACAGTTGAGAAGGTAAAGTGTTAATTCCATTCCCTCCAATTTATATGCACTTAACGGTACAAATGATAAATGTACGGAAAGTGTAGATTTCTTTTTTTCTTTGAAGGGAAAAAAAAGTGTAGATTTCTGTTGAAGAGTATCCGTCTTGAAAGCTTGGGCCTCCAATACTAAAATTGAGCATTTAAAGACTTCAACGTTTCATAGTCCATTTGAATTTGATTGGCACAAAACAGGCATTGGCCCTGTTGGAAATCTTACATATCTTTCCCCATTAAACAAATTTTTTTTTTTAACTTTTAAAAACTGAATCCACATTTTTTATACAAATAAAAAATTTATACAAAAATTTA